TATCACCAATTAAATGGAAAGGTGTATTGAGCCTGGCCTTTCCCAGTGAAAAGTATTTACTTTATCACTGGCATTGTTTAATATACATTGTTTGATATTGCTAGCACAGAGTGACTTAAAAAAAAGGAACTCTAAATCAGTGTTCTTATCATTTCTAAATTATCTACAGACAATGTGCTTTTTATTGCCTACACCCTCTGCCTCTGCTGCTTTCTACATCACTGCACACTACCCATGGGAGATCATCTATATCATCCCCATGTAGACAGGACCAAAACAAAGTTCAGTGTGTGTAAACATGCTCTGACACAAAATCAAAGAGTGTTTGTGTGTGGTAGACTTGGAACTCGAACCCAGGTCTAACTCCAAGGTCCTCTGTTTATCCTTCACACCATGTGAATAATACTACTATAAAATAACAAATGTAATCACTTTAAGTGTTTAAAGAGCTCTCATGTGAATGACTTCATTTGATATTGACATCAAACCTGTGAGACAGGCATCATCATCTATATTCACAGGTGAGGGGCTGCAGGGGATCATTATGTCTCATGGTAACAACCTAAGTGGCACTAGCAGAGACTGAGTCTGCATTTCCTGACTTCTAATACAGGCTTATATCCACTGTGTCACTGCATGTTGTGCCACTGTTAGTACCCTGTAAATAATAGAAATATGCAATGTTTACCTTTCCATCTACCAGCATGCTCCCTTCCCTGAATGGTATTTCTTCCTATTAGAAATTCATTGTCCTCCTTGATGGGTGCAGCAAACCACCATGGCACGTGTATACCTATGTAACAAACCTGCACGTTCTGCACATGTATCCCAGAACTTAAAGTATAATATTTAAAAAATAAAAAAATGAACAAGTCATTTATATTAAAAAGAAAAAAAAAGGAATTCATTGTTCTCCAAAAGAACTCATTCAAATGGAAGTACCACAGTGGAGAGGTTCAGAGCATGGGTTTCAGGGCATGATAGACCTGGGATTAAATCCAGGATCCGTCAAATGATGTGAATTAGACCACTTACTAACCCTCTGTAGGCCTATCTTCTCTTTCATAAAATGAGATTAATCGTATTTACCCCCTAGGGCTAATTATTTAAGTAAAGAGGATATCTAAAACCTAGCAGAGTGCTGACATGCAATAAATGACTGTACATTGAGTTTTCTGTTCAGAATGTTACTCTTTTATACTAATATTCCCAATATTAGTAAGATTAAATGAATGATATTTTGTTTTCCAGTCCTCTGTTTGGTTACTATATTCATTCTTATTGAAAGAGTCTTGTTATTGGTGATGTCAGAAGAAGAAAGGCCCTATTAATAATTTCAGAGCATGGAATTTTGAATTAATGTAAACTGCAAGAGTCCTTTGGCAATTGTAAGCTATTCCAAAGTCACATAAAGAATAACAATGCATCTCTCTGTGCAGCATTTTTATGGAGCCACATTTTTATTATAACCATATTTTGAGTAAGGACATCTATTATTTTAACTACACAAGGCATGCTGCCGTGTGATTTGTAGTAGTGTTTCTTAGCCTCACCTATACAGAATTCATTACAAATGAATTTTGAAATGTTCATTTCAACAAGCCATGCAAAAATAAACTTGCACCATGGTGTCATTTGAAAAATATTAGAAACAATAAGCTCTTTATGTATTTATCAGTATTCATAGATTTACCCTGGTACAAGAAAATTCCTAAGTTTTCAAAGAGAGAAGCAAGTAGTTGGCTTTTGTAGCTGATTAGATTAATGCACTTGTAAGTGCTCAATCCTAGTTTACTACCAGCTTCCCCATGCTGGGGTCTTTGAGGGGCTAATAAATAGCTTACTGCTTAGTAATTCAAGTTCCGAACAAATTGAGAAGTAAGGAAAAGCGTGGTCAGGGAGACCTAAATGTTCGCATTTTTAGAGATCAAAGTGGCTAGAGATAGTAGCTTAGTGTGGCCGACTTATCTTCCCAATCATGGCAGCCCCAGGTGGGACAGGCCTGCCCACGTGAAGGCAGAAAGGAGAGAGCCCAGGTAGGACTTCTGTCATAGAGAAACAGAGGAGAACCTCTGCTACCTGCCAGAAGTTTGGTCCCAAAAGGAAGACAGCAAAGGGATAAGCCAAACAGGCCCAGTTTCTTCTTCCCAAATTTTTCAATCAGAAAAAGTCATTTGTTTTCCCTGGGTCCTAAGGTGGTAGGGGACTGAGGGGAAATAGTCACCAGTTGGCAGTTATAACTGTGTGGCTCCAGAAATTCACAAACAGTGGTTAAAACTTCTTTCTCAAATTGGAAAATTGAACAAACAAAATCATAAGCAAAATTATCTCCAGCCAACATTAGTGGGGCACTGTGCTACAGGTGATGGAGTCATTGGCAGCTTAAGAACCCAATACAGTGAGAAGAAGTAAGGACAGGAAACTAATATTTATTGAGTATTCTGCTGCTGGTTGTCTATTTCTTTACTTATGCATCTTATCTCAGTGAATGGCATTACACAGATGCCCCAGCCAGAAATCGGGGTGTTACCTTTTCAACACTTCTTTTCCTCACCCTTATGAAATCAATTTCCAGTCTCATCAGTTCTGAGGCCTAATATCTTTCAGCCTTCAAATGTACTTCCCTCCCTTGGGTTTCAACGTTTTTTGTTTTTGAGACAGGGTCTTGCTCTGTTGCCCAGGCTGGAGTGCACTGGCCTGATCTCAGCTTACTGCAACCTCCAACTCCTGGGTTCAAGCAATTCTTGTGCCTCAGCTTCCTGAGTAGCTGGGACTACAGACACACACCACCATACCTGGCTAGTTTTTTGTATTTTAGTAAAGATGAGGTTTTGCCATGTTAGCAAGGCTGGTCTCAAACTCCTGACGTCAAGTGATCCACCTGCTTGTGCCTCCCAAAGGGCTAGGATTATAGGCATGAGCTATCATGCCCAGCCCCAACATATTATAGATGAGGAAATGGAAGCAATGTGACTATAGGCAAAGTATTAAACTCTCAAGTGACAAAGGATAATGAGGAACAGAGCCTGGATTTGAGCTCATGTCTACCAAACTTTAAATCCAAGCCCAGAACCTCTATTCTATGTCCCATCCCTTTATTAATATCTCCCCACAGCACCACTACTACCAATTATTGGATTAGCCTTTGAACTGATGTGCTCTAATGATCTACATAACCAGTTTTAGTAGCTAGCTTATTCTTTTCAAAGATAAAGAAAAGGCTCAAACTGGTACAGTTGTTTGCCCGGACCACAGCTCTGGTTAAGAGTAGAGTCAAAATCAGATCTCAAATTTCCTCTTCTCAACTGCTAATCCTGGTTCCTAACCCACGGAATAAATAAGTGAGTTATAATTTGGAAAATTAGCAATTTAAGAGTTAAATTAATTAAGGCTTTGAAAATACACTTGGATTGTAATGAGGCCAACTGCCCATTTGTAAAGAATGAGCAGTTTTAACAAGAATTGGGATAGTTTACAGTTGGAAAGGGGATCATTAAAATAGGATCCCCTCATTTTACAGGTAATAAAACCAAGGCCCAGAAAGAAAATGTATGATGGGAAGTCCAAACAGCCAAACCCAAACCAAATCCCAGGACTCCTAGTTTCCAATCCAGGGTTCGTTTTACTACAGCATCTTCCCATTTAGTGCTTATACAGAATAAGAATGTAAGTCTAAAGTAAAACAACACTACCAACAGCAATAAAACAACAAAACCCCATTTAGCACGCCTGTTTACATACAAGTGTTTATTCAAATGTGCTCTAACTCTGACAGTGATTTAAAAATGTCTCAGCTTATGGGAAAATTAAATGAGAAAGGAAATTGCAGACAAATCAGATGCTTTCTCATACATTCTTTTAAATTCAGAAAGTTACAGTCTTCTACAGGTAGAAAACTTAGGTGATAGTTTTTGAATATGAAAAAAAATCAGAAACAATGAAGATAGACCCAAGTGCTGAACAGCCAGGGTTTAGTGAATTTGTGCAGAAACATTCACTTATTTTCCTAAACGAGCTTTTTCAGCTACAAAGTCTAAACAGAGTGTCAGGATCTGTTTTTCCCATGTGTACTTAGCCAAGTTGCCATTTTCTGGCAAACAACCTTTGGACAGGAAAGGCCTTCTCTCCTTGAAGGTCCATAACCTACACAAACACAGCATCATCAAGTGCAGGAGCTTGAGTCTACAATCCTAACACAGTCAAGTGGACGTACAAACACTTTTTCCATTCTCGTAGGATTGTTTGAATGAGTCATGGAAAATTATAGTGTCAAATGTGTTTCCCAGCTGATTTCAAGCCTGTGATAGTTTTGTAGGCTCATTCCTGGGCATAAAAATCAAGGGCACAACTGCCAGAGAGAATAGAAGGCTGATATGCCAGTAAGTCTTCTATGCACCAGGATGGACTTTAAACCATACCCCCACTCATAAAAGCTAAATTTACCTGGGTTGTGGTGATAAGCGAACACATAAGGTAATTACCTAACACTAGTTTCATTTGTTTCTTTCTTTATGAATCCTGCAGTAATATCAGAGCAAACTTCGGTTGTTAGCCAGCTGTCATTTTCATCAGACTCCTCAAGGCCATCTCGAACTATAATAACAAGAAGAAAAAGAAAAAATGGTCAAATTATACATTGAGATTCCTAAGTCCTTTGGTATCATTGCTTCATTTATAAAAAGACCATAAAAATATTTATAGTCTATGTTTGTAATACCATGACCTATTGGAGAAGGGAAAAAGAAATCCTCGTTTCAGTTCCATAAAACCCTGCTAAGTGTCTCACTTAAATAAACCAAGTCTATGCTTTCATAAATTATCTTTTTTTTGTTTGTTTGTTTTTTGGTGATCAACCCCATTTAGCTGATGACATAATTCACACAAATGGGGCTTTAAGATGGCTCCCTTCCTGCATCTCTCTAATCAGATTGTCCTTCTTCATTCCTTCCTGATAAGCACGCCAACCCTCATATAAACCTGTGTGCCTGTCCTTCCTACAGATCCTCCCACTATCACAGAATCCAAGAGTAATGAAGCCACCACAGGACGACAAGCTTCACTCAAATGTGAGGCCTCAGCAGTGCCTGCACCTGACTTCGAGTGGTACCGGGATGACACTAGGTATGTGCCAAATCTACCATCCCCCGTGGCTCCACTGCTTGGGCCTGGGGGCACCAGAAGCCTCACAACAAAGCCAAAGCCAAACTAGTTATAATTATGTAGAACTATATTCTTACAATCTTCCTTTTTAATGTTTCTTTCAAATTCTTTGGGGGCTGTAGCTCTTAAGCTGAAGCCCAAAAGCAGCCAGGTAAAATATAAAAACAGTTCAATGGGTAGTTTTCACCTGCATGTCTTTCTTGCCAAAACAGAAACTCAAACCTGTTTCCTGTTTTTCTCTGTTGATGGACATTGATTCCGATAATATGGCACTGCACAATTAAAAGAGGAATTGGGCATGGAACAACGAACTCTGGCTACTTCCTTTCTCTCCTTTTCCTCCAGTGTCAGGATGGGGAAAGAATTCCTAAGCTAAAATCTTCACCAGTGTTCCATTCTATTCTTCTGTTTTTGAACTCTTAGGATAAACAGTGCCAATGGCCTTGAGATTAAGAGCACCGAGGGCCAGTCTTCCCTGACGGTGACCAATGTCACTGAAGAGCACTATGGCAACTACACCTGCGTGGCTGCCAACAAGCTGGGGGTCACCAATGCCAGCCTAGTCCTTTTCAGTAAGTATGCCAAAGCAGTGCCCAACTTGGTGGAATTAAATTGACTTTTCACATGAAAAACGTGAAAACCATTCCCTTGTCTATTAAAAGTTCACTTAAACACAAATAAGGATATATGCACTGAAACAAAAACGCAGGGTTCTCAATCTCTGTGCATAGGCGGGACTTATAAATGGAGCAACTTCTCTCTATATTCTTTCTTGCTTCGGATAACTGCCTAGATTTTGTTTGTTTTCTTTAGTTTTGTTGTTGTTTTCTTTTTTCCTAGTTATTTAAACTGAAAAAAATATTCAGAGAACACAAGTCTCTTTGGCAGTGGTCCTTTAAGAAGCAGAGGTGATGTAAGAGCCTGGAAATGGATAACAGTTTTGTTTGTTTGTTTGTTTGTTTGTTTGTGTGTGTGTGCATTTTTAAGGCAGTAATGAGAGTGACTGAGGAAGAAATATTCAGTGAGAATGAATAAGGTGACGAGAGAAGGGAGAGGCTAGAAAAAAAAAGTATCTTTTTAACAATACAAGAGGAAGAGTGGAATAAATGATTAAAGCATAATATAAATTCTAAAGGAGGAAAAATGGTGGCAGAAAGCTTTCTGTATGACAGTAGGAGACATTACTTTTCTGATATATTTTTGGAACGGAGATATAATGGTAGGAAAAAGGAACATTTCCGAAGACCAGAGAAGATCCTGAAAGTAGACCAAGGAGGTCATGGTCATTCTAAAGTCACAGATATTAATAGGAGACCCCACCTTGGAGTCCTGCTCTTTAGCAGCAAGTTAGAGTCAAGTCTAACTCCCTGCCTTGTTGGGCAGGTGACTATGAGCACAGAAGCAGATGCCTCCTGAGAAACAGAAGGATGCTAAATGGAATCACAGGAAAATGATAACATTTAGAATAGAGAAACATTTATGAGAATAAGCAAAAGAAACAAAAAAGCCCATGCTGAATCTGAAAGTTCATTTGGACTAAAGGGAAAAGTTAAAAAACAAAAGTACTATTATGATTCTGGAATAACAAACCACTAAGTTTATCTTTTTTTTTCCTGCACAGGTTCAATTGGAAAAACTAGAAATACTATGACCAGAAGAAATGTCTCTATTTTGCTATATTCCATTTAGATGAGCCTTCAGGAAAAAAATATATATTTTTTTAGAAGAAAAATCAATTTAAGTGAGAGTTCTCTTGAAATGTTGTGTTAAAGCCATTTTAAAATTGTTTAAGATTGAACTCCACTTATGAAAACAACAATCACAAACAACTCTAACTCTGGCCTTTAGTTTCTCATTCATAACTCTCATTGACTTCAGTCTGTGACAGTTTGATGAGATACAGCTATACAAATGCTGCATCTATATAAAGCTTAAAATTCACAACCTGTTTACCTGTCTCCAAAGACCAAACATCAGCATTCCTTGCCTCAACTAGAGACATCAATATCTGTAAGACACTTGAGAATATACTTCTTAAGAACTGTAGTTACCTGATTCATTCCTAACATTAAGGATTCTATAAATGGTGGGGGTGATAAACGTCCTCAACTGTGAATTTAAGATTTACCAAATCTAAGTTGACCTGGTTCAGTATAACAACATATACTTAAAAACTCAAAAAGAAGGTTGTATAGAGATGAGTAAGGAGAAGATAGAATAATTGGATGAGTTACAGAAAGTGAAAAATTACACATTTGCATTAAAGTATATTTTCATTCTATTTAACCTAGACTAAGAACTATGCTAATGACATATCAAATAATAAATAAAATGTTGCCAATAGACTGAGAGAGAGGAAAAAGAAAGAGGTTGGAAGGATGGAATACTTGAGGAAGGAGGGAAAGTGAGCGTAGGCTAAGTCAAAGGCAATGAGATACTGCTGGTGGTCATGGAAGGGGACGTCAAGCCCTACAATACCAATGCCCTATAACAGAAGTCTATTTAAAGGACTTAACCTTAATTTTACAGAGTTTCTGCTTGTATACTGAGAATCAGGGAATAAACAGACAAGTGTATCCTATCACACTTCCCTTTATGATTTAGAAGAGATCGCCCTCCATTATATATTTGAGGATCATGTGGTGCAGTGATTAATGATGTACTACTCCTGGTGGTCCCACATAGGCACTACCATAGTTGTGTCTTTGGCATCATGCAGCGGCACCACATGCATCAGCATTAGGTTTAGAATTGATGTCCCACCTTTATTGTAAAGTTAGGAGGTATAATAATGAAAAATAAAATACGAAAGATCATTAGGCTTTGAGGTGCAAAGGAACGATTCAAATTGCAGAATATTGGTGAATCTATTGCACTATTTCCTAGATCCAAGGCCTAAGAACAAATATTTTTGGGGAGAAGCCCTGCTTCTTTTGTAGCAGGAATGGCACTGCCTCCACCCACCCACTCACCACCAGTTAGTTTTGGGAGATGCGTTCTTACAGCCTGCATAGCGAAAACTGATAATTTCACAGAGTTCCAAAAGAAAAGAAAGGAAAAGAGAGGGGGGGAGATAGAGAAAGAAAAGAAGGAGGGGAGGAAAGATGGAAAGAAGAAAAGAAGGAAGGAGGGAAGGAAGGGAGGTAGGGAAAGAGGGAAGGAGGGAGGGAGGGAGGAAGGGAAGAAGGAAGGAAGGAAGGAAGGAAGGAAGGGAGGGAGGGAGGGAGGGAGGGAGGGAGGGAGGGAAGGAGGGAGAGAGAGGAGAAGAGGAAGGAGGGGAAGAGCAAGAGTACTTATGTGAGTAAATATTATTTACATTCAAATAAACAGGATTAATGGGAAAAGGAAAACACTGTGCAAGTGTCAGCAGAGGTAATTTTCCACAGAACAGAGTCAGGAGGGGAGAGATGCTTGGGGGCGGGCGTCTGTGGCCACAGCCCTGACAGAAACACTGTGTGGGCAGCAGGGTGCTCTGCTGACCAAGCCAGTCCAGAGAATAACAGGCAGCTGGTGAGCCTCTGCCAGCCAGAGGCAGCAGCAGGTAAAGACTCAGAGCCAGAGCCCCTGAAGAGTTGGCGATTATTCATCTTCATTTGTGTGTCAGCACATTTTCAGCCATGTCCACCACAGCGATGAGCTGACTTTTCACACAGTGTCAACTTGCGGTCACATGCATGCATACACTTCCCCACTCTCCATTCAAATACTGATCTCCATAGGGGTCAAAATCATGGAACGAGAGTGTAAGAATACATTGTATTCATAACAATTTTTTCCTGAGCTGGTGGAAGCATTCCTTTCTCATTCATCTAGTTCTCCACACATTCTAGCACTCTGTTTGTCAAAGAGCTACACTACCTCAGTTCATATAACCACGTAATGCCCTGGCCAAGCATTACCTTACATAACTTTTGAATGCATTAATGCAATGGCACAATGTATGGGCAAGGATTTGGCTCCCTAGTCTTCATCAGACAGGGGGATATGCATCACATAGATGAAAACTTGGATTTCGAGTGATGCCAAGAGAAGTTCCACTGTCTGCATAAGTAACATAACAGACTGTGTTTCCAGACTGATAACTAAAATTCACCCACAAAGGCGATAGGTTTATCTTGTTTTGTGCTCATGTTGAGTTAGATTCAAAACAATGGACATGGAGGAAGAAAAGGTGATAATTTAAATGTTACCACTTCTTATTAAGTGAGTGCAATTTACTCTGCAGTATCTACTGTGCTACATGTTTCACATACATGATCTGATTTTTTAAATTATATTTTTGTATCAGAAACGGATCTTGCTATGTTGCCCAGACTAAAGTGCAGTGGCCATTCATAGGCATGATTCCACTGCTGATCAGCATAGGAGTTTTGATCTGCTCTATTTCTGACCTGTGCCAGTTTGTCGGTTTGACCCTCCTTAGGCAACCTGTTGGTGTCAGGCTCCTGGGAGGCCACCATATTAAACTAGTGCAGACACCCAATCAGCAGAGGACACCACAGCCCAGAACACTTGAGTTATAGCCGTCTTTCTGCTCCGGCCTCCTGAGTAGCTGGGACTATAGGCACGCATCACAACAACCCTACTATGTACTTGTGTTTCTCCATTACATAAAAAAGTTAAGTGATTAGTGCAACTAAGTTAGGCTGAGCTTGAGATTTAACTTCAGGTAGTCTGTTTCAAGAGTGCAGGCCCTAAATCAACACATCTGCATTTGTGTATGTGGGCATAAATGTTAGGAAATATGTCTTGTAAATTTGGAGGTGAGAAGAATCTATTTTTTTCTCCTTTTTCTCACTCAATGAGGCCTTTCCACTGTCTTTATACTGCTCTATCCCTTCACACCCAAGAGCACTGTCTCCCACCTCCATTTTCATTAACCCCCAATAGCCTGTTACCACCAGGTTAGTTCAATGATTGGGTTATCTGTGGCATGTTGAAGTTCTCAGTAAATATTCCAGCCTAGCAGTCAGCATTTGCTCTAGGAGAATATTCCCTCACATTAAAGGACAATCCCACTGATTGATCACCTGGTGTTTTAGAGAAATAGGAGGATTATAAAGGTCTTTTAAGGCTTTTGAGTACAAAAGAAGAAAATACAAAAAAAAAAAAAAAAAAAAAACCTCTTCACTGGGCTTTGCTGCACCTGTGTGTAGGTGTGTAGGAGATGCTTTTAATTTTCTTTTTAAACTTTAAAATATCATTAACTTGAAAAGCCATAGTCGACTAAGTTTCAAGTACTACCTAAGTAATCCAGCACTAGAGGGAGTCTTTACAAAGAGGGAGTCTTTATAATCCCCATTTTCTTTAAAAAGCATTTGTTATCTGAAAGGCTTGCTGTTTAAACACACACCACTTGATGATGCTAGTTAAGACGCGGCAAAGCCTGGGCCAGGCGCAGTGACTCATGCCTGTAATCCCAGCTGAGGCTGAGGTGGGTGGATTTCTTGAGCTCAGGAGTTTGAGACTAGCCTGGGCAACTCGGCAGAACCCCAACTCTACCAAAAATACAAAAAAAAAAAATTACCCAGGCGTGGTGGTCTGCGCCTGTGGTCCCACCTACTAGGGAGGCTGAAGCGGGAGGGTTGCTTGAGCCTGGGAGGCGGAAGACACTGAGCCAAAATCAAACCACTGCACTCTAATCTGATTAACAGAGTGAAGACGTGGCAAAGCCTTTTAACCAGCTACTTTTAGATGCCACACAATAAAACAGTTTGAGCAACTGTCTACCCACATGTAGTTTGAAGCACTAGATGCAAACTCCTTAAGTGGGCTGTCTGTGGATACATCTCCCCTCCCCCAACCACTTAACAGATAAGAAGCCAAAGCTCAGAGTTAAGAGACCTTCCTAAGAGACACAGCATGTAGTACAAGGGACAACCTTGTAGTCTGTTCCGGAAATCTCCCAGTCAGCTGCTAAGTGTGTTTCCCTCAAGCAGCAGCAGCCAAAGGAGAAGCATATGGCACCAAGGGCTCTGCCCTCCCTTACTTTTGAACACCAAAAGTTGGAAATTTTCTTTTTCCTCCTAAGTACTATTTACTTCACTTTACACTCGTACAGGATTCTACAAACCCTAGCATAAAATATAAAACAGCAGCAGAATAATGGTCAAAGAATAAGAATACAAACTGGGATGGAGAGGCATCTAAGAAAGATACGTGAATAGGATGGAATTAAGAGAATGAGAATAGCTGATGGGGTGTGATAGGCCTAAGACAATGATAACAGGGTGGAGCTAAGACGGTAATAACAAGCTGAGAAGCAGCTGAAAGGCACTGAAAGCAGGGTGGGTGAGATGGTTAAGCCATATAATTGGTCATGTGGAAATAAGGGCAGAGTGCATTTTCCCAGCTGAGAAGAGCATGATGAGAAAATACAAAGCTGAGTCATTTAAACAGTCTGAATAATAATAGAAATAATAAAAATAAAATTCAGTAGAAAGAGCATAATATGGGACAGTGGTCTCCAACTGCAACAAAAATGCTAAAAACAGTTTAGCTGTTTATTTTCAAAGCTGGAAACTTAATACCAAATAACCAGTGGAGGCTTAAACCATTTTTTGACTTGACACTCGTGTAACTAAGACACAGTTGTTCACTGGGCTGCTGTTGACCTGCTCCATCTTAATGGACTTAGGAAACTTTCATATTTAAGTGACAACTTCAGCCAAGCTAGAGAAAAGCTGACTCTGCAAGGAGACTGAGTTTTCTCAGTGTCCAGATGCATACAGTGCCCAGAGTCCAGGGAAAATCTACTCTTTTCATGCATATGGCACAAGATGGTAGGCTATCAGATTTGAATATGCACATATGCTTTTCTCATTGTGGTTTTGATTTTTGTTGATTTTCATTTCTCATTGGTCTTTATTTAATCAAGCTGCTAGGAGAAATGTAGAAAAGTGTGTGCTAATTATGTTACACTATAATTTGGGGGTTAGCAAGTAATACATTCTCCCCCTAATACTCCATTCTGTATTTCTGAAAGAGCCTCAGAAGAGGATTTAAGCTTTTCTTGAGATAGATGAAGGACACCTTAAATTCTGAACTCTGTCAGTACATTCTATTTATGGCAGGTAGTTTATGTATGGGACTACGAGATACTTATAAACTAAGACCTCAGTGTTCAAAAAAAAATCTTTTTATACTCAATAGGACGTATCATCAAGCAAATTTGATTGGTTGATCAAATTTCAGGTGAAATGGTATTATAAAAAGAGGGGGAATTAAGGAATAGACTAAAAATAAAATTATGCTAAGAAACTTATTACCTTGACTTTACTCCTATATTGGTATCAGCAATGTGGAAGTAAAAACCTGAGGGAAAAGTTGCACTAATGTTACCCACAGTAAATTTTTCAGATGCTTGGCTAAAGCTGTTATGAACTATAGGGCTTAGAGAGAGGAAAGAATTCTATAGCTGACACACATTCCTCTGTCACGAGCTAAAGAGACGAGAGCCAAGACCAAAATGTGTCACCTGAATGTGATCACCACTATAAACACCCTCAGCTCCAACTCTCTAAAAGATCTAAAATCTTGGTGTTGGGTTGTTTTCAGTAGAATTCTGTATGTAGGGTTACCACAAACTGATGCTGTCCCCTACACTAGCTAAACTTTTTAAAGGCTCTGTATTTTTAATTTTATTAATACATTTCTTTGATAGTTTAATGTTAATAGGAAGTACAGATGAATGTTTTATGAGAGATATGATCCTGTAAGCATGGAAATTCATCTGTTGTATAATTGTTTGAATAAGTAAACATAAGAAAGATATGTATTTAAATTCTCCATGATGATTACTATTTTTTCCCCTTTAGAACGTGTTTTACCCACAATCCCCCACCCCATTCAAGGTCAGTATGATTTTTATCACTGTAGCTCTCTTCCTGGGTCATTCTCCATCATCTGTAACATGCAAAACACACAAAGGGAGAAAAACACATTCATAAAATTCACATACAATATAAATCATTTTTTCCCTTAAACCTTTTAATAAAAGTCAGTTAGTTGCTTCCAACGTCAGTTGAATAGGCATGGAACAAGACTATCGTCCTGCTCATCTTCAAATTGGTCAGTAGCTGTGAAGGCAATGCTAAACTCAGCAAGGAATTTTTTTCTACAGTCAGTATGTATTACAAGTAACTAGGAACTCACATATTTGGGACACAGCCAGTTAAATTCTGTAGCCACAGATATACAAATTTTTGACTGACCACCCTCACAGTTGGAAGTTTATACAATCTGAATCTGAAGGGTGTTACTCGTAAAAATTAACGTATATACTGCTAAAGGTTAATCAATGCAACCAGATTATAACAAAGACATTATTTCCTCTTAAAATCTTGGCCAATTCATGGGTATTTTTCTTTCCTTTTAAATATACCTATCTTAGAAAACATAAATGAAAAAACAGGATAATCATTCTGAATTCCTTTTCATAAACTTTATATGCACTCAAATTAAATTTTGCCTCCTACATCATATTTAGATGCAAGCTGCAGCCACAACTTTCTAGCTTAAGGCTATTTAAAGGGAAATTGGCAAATAAAATTAAAACAATATAAAAAATCCGAAATGAAACCAACCTACCATTGAAATTAAATTCCAGAAAAGTGATTTGCAAATAGCACTCAAAGACCTGAGAAAAAATGGAAACTAGGCCATGCGGGGCCTAGCGTGGAAAAAATAAATCCAATTAAACAAGATTATCATACACACCATAAAGGAAATGTGCTCAGAATTAAAGGTAGAAAGCTGCTGTTTTATAAGTTTGAAGATGAATCATGTTTCATTAACATTTGTCCAAACTGTAAATTCACGCAAACTTGTGTGTATTCAGTGTCAATAATGCAATGTTTCACATGTATATGCATTCACATATGCAAATGTATTTTAATTATTTTTGAACTAAGGATTGCAAGATTTCAATAATCAACTAGACAGCTTAATAAAAGAGTTGTCAAATTTTAAAAAGAGGACAAACTATTTTTAGTATGAAAGCTTAGAATAACTCTGTTTAATAATAATAAAAAAAACTTCCCTAAAACAATGAAATCTGTTTCTAATCCCAGCCACTAAAAATAAGACTGTTAAAATGTGCCTGTTTTTTAAACTTGACATGATACTTACTGTTCACGGAAAATATCCCATTTTGAATTCTTGACATGCCACAATTATTTTAACACATTTATGTTCTAGCGTTGCTGCAGAGATTGACACCATTTTATCATGTTGCCATCTTGCAAATATCTTTATATGAAAAACACACACATAAGCATTTGTACCATTGGATAGCATTTTCAAAGAGGTCATGCCCCATCTGAGATGAGCTTTGTACAGTATCACTGTGATTCTAGGTATCCTTTGTAAGAGCAGTTCTGCAGCCACCAACTCAAATATTTATCTCATCACGCATTATGATATATGTAACTTTGAACAAAGTGAAGCCAGACACCGTTCACAAAGGACAGCTGCTCAGATACTGAAAAACAGTCTGGACTAGGGATGAAGCATGAGGGATTTTGCTGAACTTTACATTTCCCACAAACTCAACTGTTGATTGGAGAATGACCCTAGTTTGATTTTACATTGTAGGTAGACTGTAGTTAGCTTTCTTAGATCCAATAGTTTTTAGAGAATATAGTTTATCTTATACTAATGCTTTAGTCTTCTGCTAGTGGAAATTGAAAAGCTGTTCATTAAGACTTGGGATGGCTGGTGTTAAGAGTCTGCTGTACAAAGATAGTCCCCTCTTAAGTTTCCTATTTTTTACAAGGACTTTAACTTCCTGGAGATTGATTCACTTTTCTTCTCTTTCCCATCCAGGGTAACCCAAGAGAAATGCAGCTTCCCATTGAAAAAAACACTAACAATAGGATGCTTAACCGTTTTTATGGTGCCAATTAAGTACCCAATATCTATGAAAAGCATGCCTCACTGTGATCATAGCTATAATGCAAGGCATCTCCATTTAATTGAATATCATATATTGTCATCATCTTTGTGAACTCTTAAATTTCATTCCTAAAATGTCAATTGTCTCTTAGAAGTTGGTTGATATAAAATGGCCTAAAGAGTTTAAGGCAATTAATTTCCTTAAGGTGTTTTGAAAGTGGGTGTTTCAAAAGCCACAAAGATTTTTTTCTGTCCTCCCATTATAAAAAGGAAAACTTTCTTCCCTAATTTCCAGCCTCACAAAGATATATGTTTCATTTCAGCTGCTTTATTGTTCATATCTCTCATTGGAGGATCTTCCCCTTCCTGTCCCCACTCTACATGGCTCATCAAGCTGACTGGGGATGCACAGCAGAGTCACAGCAGGAATGCAGTCCTAAACCCTTTCAAGCTGTGATTAAACAAAAACAAGGCTCAATAAATCAAATGCATTTCCCTTGGGTTTCCTTCATCATATTGCTTGATTTTCTGCAGTGATAATAATAATGCTGGAATTCCATCAATGGATAATTTATATTGGCTGTGGCCAATCAGAAATTTTCATATGTCCTTCCCCCCCTGCCAAAAAACAAAACAAAAAATAATACCAGTTTGCTTCCCTGCTCCTTAAAGGATATAAATAAAATAGTGCTCCATCCTTGATCTGTTTCTGATAGGTGTTTTCTTCCATTAATTTTAATTTAGCTTTATTCATTCTAAAATGAGTCCTGAATTGCATAAGTTTGCATAAATACCTCCGACTATATTGCTGCAGAAAATCCACTGAATTGCAAAATAAGGAAAGAGTCAGCTCTCAATGTCTGGGGGAACTTTTCTCACTTTATGAGGCTGACATCGTTTCCTGAGGTTTCTGGGTACTGAGCAGTGATAACATTTCTCCCCATCAGTGTGCTAATGCCTAGCTCTTCTTCATAATGGAAGTGCACCCCGAGACACTCTCACATTGAGGACTGTAGGTTCAGAATGAAGTGTTGAAATCAGCCTCAGAAAATTAAAATGAAGTGAAACAAGGGACAACGACAAGGGCAAACAACCGTTTTGTTTATGTAACTCTCAAGCGAAAAATTCCCTTGAGTGTGGGGCTCTCTGGACTCAATCAGCCTATCCCTTTCTGATCGCTGCCACTTTGAAACAAAACAAAACAAATCCTGGAATGTGTCTCACTTGTTTGCCTCCCATCTGATTATTTATCCCAAGTGAACAGCCTTTCCATTCACTAACCCCATGTGGCAAGTGGGTTTGGGAAATGTTGAGATTATCTTCCAGGTTCAGGCATGGCACTGGGTTTGTTCACAGCTGCTTGCCATTCCATCCCTGTTTTTCCATTGATAAAATGCATTGCACATGGCTGGGTTTGCATGATTAATACAGCTGTCCATCGCTTTTTCAGAAAACAAAACAAACCATCCCCTCCCAAAATTAAAGTTTAAAAAGAAATTAAAATCCAAACCACAAACAAGCCAGGCTTACAGAAATCTGAAGTCGGCCTGGCATGTTTTCTCCCAAGGGGAGACTGATATTCTTACACGCAGGTCTGGCATCAGAGCAGCCAGATTCTATCTATAGTCAGAGGAGTGGATATATCCGCCCTCACCTGGCACCCCCAGGAATAGGTTTTTAAATCAGATTCCAAAAGGATGAGAGGTCAAATGGGAGAACAATTTTGAACATATCTCATGTTGTGAAGAATACTGAATAGTTTCTAGTTTCATTTATTGTCTGTAGAATACCATCCTTAGTATTATTAAGAAAAAGCTTCTTTTCAGCTCCTTAATACAACAGTATTTTGCTTTGTCTAATAATAGTAATAATATTAATAATAATAGCTAACATACATAATAGGCTTCTCATGTACCATTAGAGTTTTAAGGGCTTTTGCCTGCATTAACTCAATCCCGCAACCCTAAGAAAGAGACATGCACCTTTCTCTCACACTTTTTAATGATTAAATGACACTTAAATTTCAACCTACCCCTGTTACACCCAGGCACATGTATAAATCTGTAGAATATTAATAATCACCCTTATGTATACATTCATGTTCATTAGATATGCATCTTTCCAGTGAATTTTAAATGTTCATCTAATTTATTTTATATATTACAGTGCTTATAACACAGTTACTTTATGTCCTTACATTTTTACAGAATCTATTTTCAAATATGCTTAACACAGTGAGATGTATGCCCAACTCACACAGATTTATATGAAAGCATTCATCTTTTAAAAACATGAGCAGAGCTATCTGGCATCAGCACATCTAATTTCACACACTTATTCAGGCTGATTTACATACACACCTCTATTAATCATGGATAATTACTAGCATTGTTCCTGTAATTCAGTTTTTCCAACTGTGAAATGGGAAAGAAAATATATTTTTCATGCCTACAAGCTCAAAGTGGTATTTTAAATAACACACAAAAGAGAGCTTCAAGTTCCTAGAAAGAAGGTATACTGAATTTTAAAAATTATATTCAAATGCACGTGTCTTATAATTTTTAAAAGCGCTGATATTTACAGGCATACTCATATCATATTACATGGACATTAGCTAGACATAAGTTCAGTGTGCTTTTATTATATTTTGATGTATTATGGATTATAAGGATGTCTGAAATCCCCACACTGCTAAAAAGTTTTAATATAGCAGCATCCTAAGGCCAAATAAAAAATATTTTTCATTATTTTCTTACCAATATCATAATATTAAAGAAGAGCTGCAAAATTGCACAGTTCCTTGTTGTGTGGCATACACATATACACTCACATACTTTGAGTGAATGCCCATCATACACACTACCACATGACTGCCAGACCATCAGCCTAAAGAACCTGCACCTTTTGCTGGTCAGGGATATAAGGTATGCCCTAGGAAGGATTTCACTTTTTAAATACG